CCTTTTATTCTTGTTTTTCTCCACCAAAGATGATCACATAATTCATTGCTTTTAGAGGCTATCAGTTCCTTTTTTTTTTAAATAAATATCTTACTGTTCGAAAAATAATTAGTATTATATCAATGTCAAGATTGTAACTTCTACAATTAAAGAAATTGTCATCCATAATTGATATAAAACGTTTTAAAGCTTAAAATGTAAATTATTATATTCCACAATGAACGATACTTGTCTCTTATCAACGATAAAACAATTTCAATTTGGAATATCTCTACAAGCACGACATCCCCTTTATTAGAAAAGTTTACAGTGTTTGTTTATTTTACATTTTTATGTCACTGACATTTATATATAAGATTCTTGGTTTGATTAAATACGTTACATATTTGAATATAATTGAATAATAATTCGATAACTTCATAGAAAGAAGTTAAGTCTCAACTATTTACGCTTAAATTTTAGTTAAGAACGAATTAACTTGTGCTTCTAAGAGGCTGTTTGACAATTGCTGAATGGTTTTGTGCAAAATGATTAAGTAGTCAGAATGATATAGAGGCTCTCATGATATAGTACAAAATGAGATATAATTGTTTGGTAATTGTGTACAATGAAGTTAGGGCTTTTAATGGTTAAAGGAGATTCATGATACAAAATCATTCAGAAAATTTTAGAACCTTTAAGAGGCACATTTTTTTTTGCCAAACAAGATTCACCTCTTAACGGTTCAGAGGTTTACCTCTTAATGAAACTATTAAGAAGTAAACAAACAACCCCTTAAGTTAATATTGATTCTAAGTTTATATTACTTGATATCTTCAAGCAACATTTACTTTTAATTTATAACGAATATTAATTGATAAATGTATCTTACTATAAATCACTTGTCACATCTACTCGTTTTCAAGAAATATATATTTTAAAATTTACCAGCAAATTTAACTGTTATAATTTTTCTAAAATAAAATATTAAAAATTAAAATCTTTAAAAAATTACATCAAAATAACATCTGTTCTCTTTTAGTAATTTTATCATTAATTATATTATTAAAATATATTTTTTCTCGTATATAAATTTTTAAAGATTTATTTAAATTTAGAGATTTTCATATTCTATCACTTAAATTTTCTACTTTATCATACATTAAAGCATAGTTTACTCAAGCATACAACTGCATTTTGATAGTTTTGAGATAAACACGTTAAATAAACCAGTAAGATAATTGTTTAAATCTTTATAATAGAGAAGCACGTTGAAATTCCACGTAATTTTTTTTTAGATTTTAGTTTTTTATCCATCTTAGAGGACTTATGTATAAGTTTTTGGAGATGTTTTTATAACATCTTCAAAAGCTTATACATAATTTTTCTAGAATAGATTTTCAAAAGTCAATATTTTTAAGAAAATATTGCAACCGACTTTTGACAATTATTCTATCTTAGCAATTCTAACATTAACTATATGATTAAAATGTTCAATACATTTAATAAAATATTATTTATCTATTTTGAACATTTATTTTCAATATCTCACGTTGGTGGGAAAGAAGTACAACGTTATTTCTCTTTCCTATATAGAATTGTAGAGATTTCTGTAAATTTAGAGATTTTTATATTCTTTCTATTCGTTTTTCTATTTTACATGTACAGTGTAACATAGCTGTTGGAGCACAAAACTTTCTTAAATCACCAAAAATCATTTTATAACATAGTTGTTAGAAATGCTTTAAGGGTCCGTTTGGTTTGCAAGATTGTTTTTGAGGGATTTGGATTTTATGGAGGGATTTAGATTTGTAGGGATTTGGATTGGAATGGATTTGAAATAATTGGTGTGTTTGGTTTATATGTTTTTGAATGCAATTTGTTGATCCTCTCTCTCATTGATTTGTTGATAATCCCTTTTTCCTTTCGATGTATTTATGTATCTGTAATTTCAGTTCCAGCGATCATACA